TCATTTTACCTGTGAAAAACGCGAGCTAAAACAAGTATAAAGGGCCTATTTTGACCCTAAAAATCGGGTGTGTTCAGTATTTTGATATTATCTCAAGAATGGCTTGCCTGTTTCAGCTCGGGCACGTCTTGTTTGCTAGAGAATAGTACACACTACAAATCCATACCATTTGAGTGACAAACATACAGAGTACCACTCAAAAGTCCAAAATACCGCTATCCGGGATTGGCGGGTTTTTCGAGTTTTAGATAGTTTTTGACATATGCGTTTTCTTTACTCAATATATCAGTCACTGAAATAGTATGGATTTGTAGTGTGTACTATTCTCTAGTAAACAAGACGTCCCCGAGCTGAAACAGGCAAGCCATTCTTGAGATAATATCAAAATACTGAACACACCCGATTTTTAGGGTCAAAATAGGCCCTTTATACTTGTTTTAGCTCGCGTTTTTCACAGGTAAAATGAAATGACCTAATATTTTGGATTTGATTGTGGTTTGACTAGACCTTTCATTTGAGATAACAAAATCGAAAAAAACTTCTCTTCGGAGGCCTATAACTAAGGTCGGGTGCTCTTCTGGTGGACTCTCTCTTAAAAATTTTTATCCACAAAAAGGACAAGATCTTGACAAATCGATATCAGAGTTGTTATCTACTCGCAAGGTACTTTCATTTTATAGTGTTTCCAGAGTGGGGAAAAATGGATGATTTCTGACCAGATCCTTTCGGATGTGTGATGAAATTTTATCACGTAGTCTTTCTTTAATTCAATGACATTGTTTGTATTTTTCATCAGAGGAACAGTGGATACTTGGTTAAGCTTGAGTGAGTAGTAAGCTTTTTATCAGCAGTGTCTATAATTTGTTTGGACTGTTTTCTTTTAAGTTTTTTCGTTTTATATCTTTTTGTTTTTATTAATTAATTAATTGATTATTATGGTAGAATAGAATGATTGATTAAGAAAATGACTAAAACATGGTTCAAAATCTGTTTCATCTGGTTTTATGTATAAAAATGACTATCTAAAAATTTTCAGATATCATGTGTCATGTAGATTTTGGTCGATGGCAGTTCGCTTCTCACTAATCGATAAATTCAATAAAAAGCTGCTTAGAGAATTTGTATAGATTTTCGAAGTTTCCTCTGTTTTTTGTGAACATTATTTTGAATTTCATAGAAATTATTAGTATGTATTATGACCGATTCGAGCAAAGGTTTGAGAGTTTGAAAAAAATTTAATAATATTGGTATAATATAGATAAACTGTTTTTCGAGTTTGACATACTGAGCATTGTGCGATAAATGTTTGTAACGATGAGCAATTGATCCAACTGTAATTTGTTGCAATATATTCGAGACATTTGCCTCGACCATCATCAACAATCTGATGATGGTTTGTCTGATTGATATCGTACATATCCTGATATAAACGAGCAGGTTGAACTTCTTTAAAATCACATAACAGTTGATGATTACCGATGAGACGAAGCGTGAATGTTCGTTTACACCAGCGAGAAAAACGTCTAGAAATCTTTTCAGTAGAGAACTTGCTCTGAAGTACTTAGGTCAGTCCAAAAGTAGTGGCGGAGGCATATGAATTCCTTATAGAAAGCTGTGAGAAACTTTTTTTCTATACAGTCTGATAGAGAAAAGAAAGTTCTATTTTTCTATGCTATTTGATCATACTTTAACTAATATGATGATAATAAATTTTTCATAAGACTTTTTTCTTTAACATGTCTGCTCGTTGTACTAGCTCACAATGAGTCAGACCGGTTAGTTTTTTTAGTCCACTAATACATTATATTAATAACCAAAATATACCATAAGATGCAGCGTGAAAAGCTCTACAATTTCCATAAGACCACTTATTTTCTAGTTGCACTTTTTTTTTCAAAATGGACAAAGTTTTGAGTGATCGAACTTTGGCCGTTGTAAAAACTGATCGTATAGAATTTTCCTTTCTCTCAAAATAATTTCAATAAACCTTACTATGTATATTGTAGAGCTTTTCACGCTGCATCTTCTGGTGCATTTTGTTTTTCTTTTGATGAAGCATATTAGGTGATAAAATGATCAACAACAAAAAATGAATTCGTCGTGTATCAAAAACATTATCTTTTTCAGGGTCGAAATTTGATCGCTCAAAATTTAGTATATTTTAAGAACAAAATGTGCAACTAGAAAATAAGTGGTCTTATGGAAATTGTAGAGCTTTTGATGCTGCATCTTATGGCATATTTTCGTTGTTAATGCAACTAATAAGGGATTGAAAACTGCGAAATACAACTTACAATGAGGAAATATGTTGACGAAAAAAATCTTCTCAAAAATTTATTATCATGATATTAGTTAAAGTATGATCAAATAGTATAGAAAAATAGAGCTTTCTTTTTTCTATCAGACTGCATAGAAAAATGTTTCTCAGAGTTTTCTATAAGCAATTCATATGCCTCCACCACTACTTTTGGACTGACCGAAGTACATTGATTATTATTTCGCTTTCTTCACGAGTGATAACACCTTTATTACGAATTTTAAGAGTTAATCCATCAGTATTAAAATATTCGCTTTTTAGACTTTCTTACCATAGAAATAATTTAGTGCTCTGTGCACGAATGAAAAGGACAGGACGAAGAGAAAAAAAACACACCTAAGCCTTTTGATATGATCTGAGCTGAAAATAGGTTTTTTTTTAATACACATAATAACAATAAAAGTTACATACCAATCGCTCTTTTCATACCGATATCTTTATACATCACCACTTAAATTCCACCCGTATTATAAAAACAAAAGAGGTAATCATCGAAATGTTGATACCGTATGATATTAACTAAATCAGTTTAATATAAAATGTTGGTTTTTTTTAATTTTATTTACCATCACAATAATTTTCTGCCCCATATTCGACCAAAAACGAGAAAAAAAGGAAAAAAAAGGAGGAAAAAAAATTATATCAGTCTAATTATTCAGTATAAGATTTGACAAAACGTTGTTATTAAAGATGTTAGAAATAATAGGTAAATATTATATTTTTTGTTTCGTACATATAGTCTCTCATATCATCAGCTACAATTATTTATCACTATAAAAAAAGAAGATAATCATCAAACATAACATTTGAGAATAAGTTTTATTAAAGATAACAAAAATAATAGCTAAGTACTATTTTTCTTTCATGAAAATAGCCTCATAAAATCATCAATTTCATTTTGTTTCTTATGATAAAAAAATAAGCATGAAACATAAGACTTGAGGAGAGGTGTTTTATTATAGAAAATAAAAATAATAGTTAAGTATTTATTTTCCTTCTCAAGACTAGCTTCATAAATCATCAGTTTCATGTTATTGTTCATTATGAGGAAATAATCGTCGAACATAAGATTCAAGAATAGACTTCTTATTAGAGATAATAAAATAAATAGTTAAATGTTAATTTTCTTTTTTTATAGGAAAAGCCTCATAAATCATCAGTTTCATTTGATTTCTCATTATAAAAAAATAATTATGAAACATAAAATTCATGAATAGATTATTATTAAAGATAATTAAAACAATAGTTAGGTATCAATTTTCTTTCTCAGGACTAGCCTCATACATCATCAGTTTTATTTCATTCCTCATTATAGAAGAAACAATTATGGAATATAAAATTCGTGAATAGATTGTTTTTGTGAAAGATAATAAAAATAATAGCTAAATACTAATTCTTCTTTTCGTAAGAATAGCGTCATAAATCATCAGTTTCATTTTATTTCTCTTTATAAAAAGATAGTCAACAGACACTCAATGAAAATGATTTTCAATCGGATTTTCCTGCAACAAAATCAAAATTAAAACCGATTGATAATTTTGATTATTGTTGATTACGGCTTAGCTATTACTTGATATTATTACTTATTCAGTATGAAATTTTCTCATTAAAATCGGATGATTCTGTAGCGAATTCAACGTTATCAATCGATTAATAATTTCGATTTTTCCTGCAAAATAATCTGATTTCAATCAGAAAACTTCACACTGAATAAACAACAATGTCGAGTAACATCTTAGTCGTGATCAGAAATAATCAAAATTATCAATCAATCTTAATTTTGATTTTGTTGCAGAAAAATCCGATTGGAATTGAAAACCGCGAAAATTTTTCACTGGGCAGCTGGTATGATACGATCTTAATTAGTAGAGATCGTGTGATTAGTACTCAATTCACGAATAGTTTCTTATATGAAAACGAAATTTTTTTGTCTACAATTGCATTAAAAGAATACAGTGGCAAAAATTTCTTATCAGTAAAGGGTTCTATCCGTTAGTTGAACCTCGAACATATATTGTATTTGTTATATCTGGAAAAAAAATTATTGATACATTCTTTGATGAAAAAATCAAGTTATCTATCGAAATTTCTGAGTGAAAATAATAATTAAAAACCTTTTCTAAATAAAAAATGTAGCTAAAACTATGCGCCTAATAAAAAAAAATCAGTTTTGCCTGTGACATATATTTAAAAATGTTTAAGAAAAAAAAGAAAATTAATAAATGATATAAATGACAAAAAAAAATCTTATTTAAAAAAAAAACATCTATTATGTTTTTTTTTTGCTTTGTTAAGAGTTAATGCCTGAAGGCCTATTAATACACCCAAAATTAAATACAATGACCAGTTGACAACTTAAGGCAGAGAAGAGAGAAATAAGAGCAGACAGACAACAAAAGAGAGTGAAAAAGACGCACACCGAAACGCATTAGCTTCGTACAATGCAAGTAAACACGTACACAACCACGCATCAGGAACAAAAGCAGAGAAGAAAATGGCCTACGAGAAAAGAGATAATAGCAATTATAAGAGAAAAAAAAAGACGAAGAGAAGAAAAAAAGGAACAAAGAAAAACCTTATTAAGCAGTTACTTATAGGGATAGAGATCATTCGTTTCGAGGAGCAAGAGAGTGGACGAAAGGATGGGAGGGAAAGTCATTTATAATGTTCGTTTGCCATTATGTTAAACCAATCTATTTGGCGCCAGTGCTTCAGTTGAAGTATCTAAATATAAATCGAAAAAATATTTCGTTGAAATTAATATATTTGTTACCCTCATTCTCTTCATCAGTTGTTGTTGTCGAAGCGGGGTAACCTGGACCCCAAAAATTGATAGGATCGATCATATACCGAATTCGGTGAATAATTGGATCAAAAATTGTCCTAAACCAACAAACAAAAACAGCTGATTTTTGTTAAAAAAATTATCGACTTACACTCGAGCTGCTACATAAAGGATAAACAAACTAATGAACGTATATATATCATATATCAATAGGGTGTGGGTGTG